ACATATGAATATCAGTGACAGTGTGTGAGTGAGAAGCATCCACCTTGAGTCACCTTTGTAGAGAGAAAAAGCTGGGTATAAATAAACATAATTAATAATATTTATTTATTTACGGCATTTATATGCCGCCCTTCTCACCCCAAAGGGGACTCAGAGCGGCTTACAATATATATTTTCATACAATATATTATATTATTAGCATAGTACAATATCAGTATTATATATTACTATATTACACTATATCATTATATTGTAATATACTCATGTAAAAGTCTAAAAATAAACCTGGATCGACTTATCTACAGGTTGGTGTGCGTGCGACATCTTGTTGCTGTTGTTCATTTGTTCAGTCGCTTCCGACTCTTCATGACCTCATGGACCAGCCCACACCAGAGCTCCCTGTCGGTCGTCACCACCCCCAGGTCCTTCAAGGTCAAGCCAGTCACTTCAAGGGTGCCATCAATCCATCTTGCTGTTGGTCGGCCCCTCTTCCTTTTTCCTTCCATTTCCCCAAGCATAATTGCCTTCTCTAAGCTTTCCTGTCTTTTCATTATGTGGCCAAAATACTTCCTCTTTGCCTCTAATATCCTTCACTCCAATGAGCAATCAGGCTTTATTTCCAGAAGATGGACTGGTTGGATCTTCTGAACTTTCCTCCAACACCACAGTTCCAAAGCATCTATCTTCCTTTGCTCAGCCTTCCCTATGGTCCAGCTCTCACATCTCTAGGTGACTACGGGGAATACCATTGCTTTAACTACGTGGATCTTCGTTGCCAGTGTGATGTCTCTACTCTTCACTATTTTATCGAGATTGGACATTGCTCTCCTCCCAAGAAGTAAGCATCTCCTGATTTCCTGGCTGCAGTCTGCGTCTGCAGTAATCTTTGCACCTAGAAATACAAAGTCTGTCATGGCCTCCACGTTTTCTCCCTCTATTTCCCAGTTATCAATCATTCTTGTTGCCATAATCTTGGTTTTTTTTTGTTTAGCTGCAACCCAGCTTTTGTGCGTTCTTCTTTCACCTTGATTAGACGGCTACATCTTAGCTCTTATTTTTTAAAAAAGAATCTTCCCTTTCTCTGAGTAGAGTGGTGAAAGGCATGTTTCATCCATCCCAGGATGATCCAGAAGAAATACTGACCCACTTTATTCTCTCCTGGCATTCGTTCTGGCCTTTTTGAATGCCTGGTTAGGGCAACAGTGTTGGTGGCAGGGCCATCTGTCCCCATGAGGCAGCATTGGGGTTTTCCCAGCTCTGCAATATGAGGATTGGTGTGCAGAGACAGCAGTATTATGTTAGTCTTGATATATAGTTCTGCCATCAGTTGAATATGAAATGATGTGCACTACGGCAGCCTCTGTTCATGGCTATGATTCATTTTTTATGTGCAGAGGGGGGCATTCTGTAAAAGGCAGTCATGTAACTCAGCAGCGCTATTGTTCACAATAGATAGATATGTCAGAAATATACACTACAGAATTGAGTAACATTCCTCTTTATTTTGCTTTGACATTCTGTCAGTTTTTTATGCTAAGCAAGAAGGTGAGATGTTTTTATTATAGAAAAACATGAGCACCTCTTAAAGCTGTCACAGGAAGTTGGTCGTCTTAGGAATCCTTATATAATAACAGTGTTCTGGCCGACCACTATTTCACACCAAACTAAATTTCAAATTGCAATAAATCCACTTGAGGAAGGGAATTGCTTCTTATGTTGATAATATATATTGAACAAGTGACACAGTGCTGACCCTTTCAAATTTGATCATCTGTATTTTAATGTTGTATGCTGGCATTAGCTAGGCCATCTCTTCACTGGGAAAAAGAAGTAACCCTTTAAAAAGAGCTCATATGTGATGTTTCTGAGCAGTGAACTACTGCAGTGTATTTTTTGTGTGTCAGGAGCGACTTGAGAAACTGCAAGGAGCAGTGGGTTAAACCCCTGTGCTGGCAGGACTGAAGACCGACAGGTCGCAGGTTCAAATCCGGGGAGATAATGAACATGGACATATTGACGTACTGGTTATCTCCAAATCAGGGTCTACCCAAGAAACAAACGAACTGGGACCCGGTTAAGGAATACTTTCAACAATTGAACATACAATTTATAATATGAAGAGGAAAGATCACAAGAGGACATATATGGGACAAAGGGGAAGCTAATGATTTTACTACATAAATCAGTGTTTCTCAACCTGAGGGTTGGGACCCTTAGGGGGGTCGCGAGGGGGTGTCAGAGGGGTCGCCAAAGACCATCAGGAAACACATTTTCTGTTGGTCATGGAGGTTCTGTGTGGGAAGTTTGGCTCAATTCTATTGTTGGTGGGATTCAGGATGCTCTTTGATTGTAGGTGAACTATACATCCCAGCAAATACAACTCCCAAATGTCATGGTTTATTTTCTCTAAACTCCATCAGTGTTCACATTTGGGCATATTGAGTATTCATGCCAAGTTTGGTCCAGATCCATCATTGTTTCGAGTCTACAGTGCTTTCCGGATGTAGGTGAATGACAATTCCAAAACTCAAGGTCAATGCCCAGCAAACCTTTCCAGTATTTTATGTTGGTCATGGGAGTTCTGTGTGCTTGAGTTTGGTTCAGTTCCATTGTTGGTGGAGTTAAGAATACTCTTTGATTGTAGACGAACTATAAATCCCAGGAACTACAACTCCCAAATGACAAAATCAATCTCTCCCCACACCACCAATATTCAAATGTGGGCGTATTGGGTATTTGTGCCAAATTTGGTCCAGTGAATGAAAATGCATCCTGCATATCAGATATTTACACGACGATTCATAACAGTAGAATATACAGTTATGAAGTAGCAACAAAAATAATTTTATGGTTGGGGGTCACCACAACATGAGGAACTGGATTAAGGGGTCACGGCATCAGGAAGGTTGAGAAACACTGATATAAATGATAATATTGAAGAAGGACTAAATGACCACCAAAGATTAGATGAAAGTCAACCATTTCTTTCTTTCTTCTATTTTCTCTCTTCTATCATTTCTAACTTTCTTGGAATTAAAATGTTCTTCCTCTTTTGATGTTAAAGGAAAATCTTATTTAAATATCCTTTCTTTTGTTTTTGTTTTGTTTTTCATTTTAATAAAAACATTATATAAATAAAAAAATCAGGGGAAGAGCATGGATGAGCTCTCTCTGTCAGCTCCGACTCCCCATGCAGTGACATTAGAGACGCCTCCCACAAGGATGGTAAAAACATCCTGCCATCCCCTGGGCAACGTCCTTGCAGACGGCCAATTCTCTAACACCGGAAGCGACTTGCAGTTTCTCAAGTGACTCCTGCAACGTAAATGCTTTTATCCACTTATGGATATATGGAGCAAGGATGTTTCAGCTGCAGACAGTAAAGTAAGAAATAAATAGCTGATGAAAAAAAAATTGACAGCCCCTATCATAGGTATGTCAGCTCCCACCTAAAACACTTTTAGTGTTTCACTACTTTTAAGAGAATGGTACAGGTATCTTCTGAGCTAGCAATAATAGCTGGAATGACAGAACCTCATCACCACACCTACTCTGATAATTCTATCTTCTCAACTTCAAAAGGAGTAAATCAGCAAATGTGAGTATGACAAACTGAAGGAATCAAAGACATGGGTCTCACTATAATTCTGTCACTTCTATGGATATAATTCTTTGTTAAATTGATTTTTACAGGGAAGATTGAATAGTTCATTCACTTTTCCCCCTGCTGTGAGAACATCTTCAATATTAATGCAGTTTTTTTAAAGTTCTTATAGTAAAAGAAAGCCATCCCCTGACACACCTCCAATTTCCCTGCATACTTCTCATAGCCATGTACTGGTTGAATGGTGGGAGCAGACAAGGATCATGCAATTATGTCTGTCAGCTGGACACACAGCAATATCATTCCCCTGGGATCTCTGAAAGAGCCCCATAATGATCCCTGGCCACTACCTGCAATTATATTCTGTTATGTTAGCTGGATAAGTGATGATTTATATATCCTCCTGGGGAATTATGTCAGCATTGTGTCTATAGTTACTATGTGCCCCGCCAACACATATTGTTCTCCTGCCTCTGAAGTCCGGTCATGTAAAGGTTGGGGCAGGGTTAGGAGTGCAAGCAAACAGTAAATCATTTTTTGAAATACACAAATATTTTCATATTTCTAATAAAATCTCAAAAAGCAAACAAACAAGAGGCTGGGTTGTATTAGGTTTTTCGGGCTATATGGCCATATTCTAGAAGCACTCTCTCCTGACGTTTTGCCTGCATCTGTAGCAGGCATCCTCAGGGGTCTCTCAACCTCTGAGGATGACTGCCATAGATGCGGGTGAAACATCAGGAGAGAGTGCTTCTAGAACATAGCCATATAATCTGAAAAACTTACAACAGCCCAGTGATTCTGGCCATAAAATGCCTTCGACAATACAAACATTAGGATTTTTATACCAATTTATTAATTATTCTTGAAGTGGCTGATGAATTCTATGCATTATTTTAAGTGCTCAATTGCCTTCTATGTCAGAATCTGATAGTATGTGAAACAGCCCTTTAAAGAAGCTATTATAGAAGGGATAACGGTGCACTCTTTCAGTATCTTTATATGATCCTTAAACATAATTACACACTAATGGGTCAAAGGTTTTCTTCCTCCTATGCTGGGAGCAGCCACTTGACAGTCCTCACATCAAATTTGTTTGTTACACAACTCCCTGCGCTCTAATTTCTAGACTTCTGGTAAAAACTGTATTTCACTTCCTGCCAGTGACCCAGAAACCCACTCACTGGGAACCCCTTTCAATCAGTGGTGAGTTCTCATTCATACAAACCATTTGGGAATTGCTGTTAAAGAGATACTATGATAAAAATGTGCAAGACATAGCAACAATGAATTGAAGATGTTATACAGATAAATGATCATGGAGTTTTCCAATTACTGGGCCTGTTCATAATGGCCTTTGCATGCTTTTAGTCTCCATTCCTTGCCAAATGCTTACCGATCAATAATGGCACACATATCAATGCTGACATTGGCAAAACTTCCCAGCTTTCCTTGTTCTACTGCGTGCAAATCCACCAGTTGATCATCCACATGAATAAGTTGCATGCAACCTTGGAATGACTGTTGTACAAAACCTGTGTGCAGAAAAAGGGAGAAGAGAGGTGTAATATTTGATATGGGTTCAACCAAATATTTCAATCTGTACCTCCCAATATTTTTTTCTATTTCCTTGTTAGAACAACACATTTAAAATCATTAATGTTTTAAAAAATAAAACAAGGGAGAGATCCAAAAAGGCAGAAGAATTATAACACATGAGACAAGTGAATATTACAGCAAATCAAGCCTCAATTCCCCCTAGAAGCCAAGATAGTAAACTGAGACTGTTGTACTTTGAACATACCAAGAGAAGAGTGGACTCATTAGAAAATACAATAATGCTTGCAGGGGCGGCTCGTCCATTACGCGAAGTAAGCGGTCGCAGAACACTTTTTTTGCCAAGGGCACAGAGGCACCTCTGTAAATGCCTCTCGACCGCAACTTGAGGAGTGCCCCTTCAGCTCACAACAGCCCTAGCAGTCCGGGGGGGAAGCCTCGGCTTTCTTGCCTCACTGCCGGGTGCACGAGCAGAGCCAGCGCTCAATCGTTCTCCACGTCCAATCCCTTCCCCATGACCGGCTCCCTTTCCCGATCTCCCAGCGCTCCACCCGCCTCCTCTCCTCAATCCGCGGATGGGCCAAGGGGCGGAGCCGCTGCGCCTGGCCCGCTTTGGGTCCGGAGGCGTGTCTGAAGACCCCAGTGTGTGCACCAAAAGTAGCCTCTTCTCCTGACTTTCTCTTCAGCCATTGGGACCAAGAGAGAGAGAGAGAGAGAGAGCCCCTCCGGCTGGAGGTATCTCCCACCTCTCCCTCCTTTGTTTTTGTGCCTACCTTCAGGAAAGGTGGGCATCTCCACCTCTCTCTCTCTCTCTCTCTGGTCCCAATGGCTGAGGAGAAAGTCAGGAGAAGAGGGGACTTTTGGTGCACACGCCGGGGTCTTCAGGCACGCCTCCGGACCCAAAGCGGGCCAGGCAAGGGAGCAAGTGCGGCAAGTGTAGTTACTGGGATGTATAGTTCACCTCCAATCAAAGAGCATTCTGAACTCCACCAATGATGGAATTGAACCAAATATGGCACACAGAACTCCCACGACGAACAGAAAATATATATCAATGATTGGTTGGGGGGGGGGGGCCAAAATACTGTTTGCTTACAGTTGAAAATTACCTAGGGCCGCCTCTGAATGCTTGTTAAAGTGGAAGGCAGTAGAAAAAGGGGGAAGGCTGCATTACAGGTGGAGAGACTCAATTAAGGAATCCCTAACCCTGAGTTGGTAAGGCCAGAGTGGAAGCATTGATGAAAGAGTGACTTGGAGATCTCTCATTCATAGGGTTGTCATAAGCCAAAGTTAATGTGACAGCAATTAAAAGCAGCAGCAGCAGCGTTTGGTACATTTGCTAAAAGTACAAAAATAGCTTTAGGCTCAAATTGCAAGCACATTAGAAACTTAGCAAATATATCAGTACTTCTCAGTAATCACAATGTTATCAGTTGTTCGTCTCCCAGGAGTTTGATTTGCCTTGCCCCATAGTTGTAGGAAATAGCACCCCTTCTGCATTTTTTCCAGGGTTGTTACAGCAACACCCTGATAGTTAACCAGTAATAGAGGCTTGAAGTCAGCCTGCAAAGCCTTTGCTGCTGTTGGCTTGCAAAAGTATCTTTTTGATTTTATTTATTTATTTATGTATTTATTTATTTATTTGACTTGTATACCGCTACTCCCAATTTGGCTTGGAGCGGTTTACAGCAGTAGATTAAAACAATACAATTAACTTTAAAATACAATAAAAACAAGAACAGACATAGTCCCGAGTTATTCACCCATCGAAAGCTTGTCGGAAGAGAAAGGTTTTACAGGCTTTCCGAAAAACAAGTAGATCTCTGATAGATCGGGTTTCAACTGGCAAGGCATTCCCTAAATAAGGGGCTACAATCGAGAAGGCTCTCTGCCTAGTAGAGGACAGATGATAAGTCCGGATGTTGGGGACTTCAAGCAAATTTTGGTCTTCGGACCGAAGTAATCTCTGGGGTTGGTAGGGGGATAAGCGGGCCCTCAGGTACGCTGACCCCAGACCATATAAAGCCTTAAAGGTTAGTACCAGCACCTTTAAAGTAATCCGGTACTCAATGGGTAGCCAGTGCAGCTGTTGTAGAATTGGGGTGATATTATTATTAAACTTTATTTGTATCCCGCTAGCATCTCCCAAAGGACTCGATGCGGCTTACAAAGGCCAAGGCCTCAAACACACAATATAACAATACAAAAAAAGCAAATTAAAAACAATTAAAGCAATATAAACAACAAGCAATAAACAATACACTAAGACACAATAAAACTGGGCCGGGCCAGAGTAATGGGTACAGGATTAAAAGTGCTGATGTGACAGGTGGTATATAAGGCATTATAGGGCAAGTGCAGTGTGCGGTGTGCAGCAATCTTAGTTCTAGTAAAGTGCTTATGGGACTTGGTATTGGAGATTTCCTAATCTGGGAAGGCACATCGGAACAGCCAGGTCTTCAAGTTCTTTCTGAAGACTGCCAATGTAGGGGCCTGTCTAAGATCTTTGGGGAGGGTGTTCCAGAGTCGGGGGGCCACCACAGAAAAGGCCCTGTCTCGTGTCCCCACCAGCGCGCTTGCGACGCAGGTGGGATCACGAGCAGGGCCTCTCCAGATGACTGAAGTGAACGCGTGGGTTCGTAGACGGAGATGCGGTCATGCAGGTAGGATGGTCCCAAACTGTTCAGGGCTTTGTAGGTAAGCACCTGCACCTTAAATTGGGCTCGGAAAATAAACGGCAGCCAGTGGAGCTCCTTGAACAGGAGGGTTGACCTCTCTCTGTAAGGGGCCCCAGTTAACATCCTGGCTGCTGCTCGTTGGACCAGTTGGAACTTCCAAGCCGTTTTCAAGGGCAGCTCCACGTAGAGTGCACTGCAGTAGTCCAACCTGGAGGTGACCAAGGCATGGACCTTGCTGGCACCCGGGCGAGAAGACGAGCCGCTGCATTTTGCACCAGCTTCAGTTTCTAGATCACTGACAAAGGAAGGCCAATGTAGAGGGCGTTACAGTAGTCAAGCCTCGAAATGACCGTTGCCTGGATCACCGTAGCCAGGTCGTTCCTAGATAGGTAGGGAGCCAGTTGCCTAGCCTGACGTAGATGGAAAACGCAGATCTGCTCGCAGCAGAGACCTGGGCCTCCATTGTGAGCAGAGGGTCCAATAAGACACCAAGACTTTTTACAGAAGGTGACGGACGTAGTGTCTCGTCATCCAGGGTAGGCAGCTGGATCTGCCTCCCACCCGGACGGCCCAGCCAAAGGATCTCCGTCTTCGCTGAGACTGCCCCTTTTTCCTGGGGATGAAATCTCCATTTTGAGAAGCTCTTCTGCCTTCTACAGTATAGCAAAAGACTCAGATGTGCTTGTGGTCAAGCCAGGCCAGCTCAGACAAGCCATCGTAAATACTAACCTCTTGCCTTTAAAACTAGTTCTGAGTTTAGATAGGGAAAGACCTGCTCTTTCTAAAATAGCAACTCAGCACTAGGGCAGAGAATATCCCAGGATTTCTCTGCCATTGGAAGAAGCTCTAACTACTTTGCCTCCAAGCTAGCTTTGAGTTTAGATAGGGAAAGACCTGCTCTTTCTAGTATAGCGACTCAGGGTAGAGAGTATTCCAGGATTCCTCCACCATTGGAAGAAGTTAACTCAGCAGCTGAAGGGAAAAGTAAGAAAGGAACAGCCACATGATTTTATAAGTTGACTGTTTGTATTTGTAACCTCAACAAGTTGTGCCAAGCCTGTCAAGGACTTTGAGAAAATAAAAATCTTGTTTGATGTTCAATCTGGAGTCTTAGTTGCTGGGACTCCTGAGCTTCAAAGTAAGCCCCCCGTGGTCCACCCAGCTAAAGAAAAAAGCACATCATAGTTTCAACCTTAAAGTGCCTAGATGTGACTGCACATCTGTTCTGTGTAAGTCCATCATGTTGAGTCTTTCTATAGCTACAGGACAATAACAATACTCACTACGGTTGAAGCTTTATTAATGTAATGGAATGATCTGTTGTGATTTTATGTAATAACTAGCTGTATCCGCCATGTGTTGCTGTGGCCAACCTTCCCCCCCTCTCTCTCTCTCCTTCCTTCCTTCCTTCCTTCCTTCCTTCCTTCCTTCCTTTCCCTCCCTCCCTCCCTCCTTCCCTCTCTCTTTCTCTCTTTCTTCCTTCCTTCCTTCTTTCTTTCTTTCTTTCTTTCTTTCTTTCTTTCTTTCTCTCTCTTTCTCTCCTTCCTTCCTTCCTCCCTCGCTCGCTCCCTCCCTTCCTTCCTTTTCTTCTTCTTCCCTTCCTTCCCACACCTTTTCTTTCTCTTCCTCCTTTTCCCCTTTCTTCCTTCTCTACCTATTCTTGGACTGCAACTCCCAGCAGTCCTCCTGATCTATCCATCTACCTACCTACCTATCTCTATTTAATCTATCTATCTGGAGGATTGCTGGGAGTTGCAGTCCAGGAGTAGGAAATTGGAAATATGCAGGGATTAGGATGCTCTCAAAGAAATCCAAGGAGAAGAAGGTTTGCAGCTTGGAAGCAGTGCATTTGGATTATCCTCCTCTCCTAAAGGACCTGGTCTAGGGGATGCTGGGAGCTGTAGTCTGGAAGAGAGTGTAGATATGCTATTGTGTGTTTTGTTTGCCAATGGGAGTCGTTTTTGTGCATGCATTGTAGCGTCTTCTTTTGCTTTTTTGGCTTTTAAATCCTTTCTGCAGTGTTTTTCAGTGTTTTATGAGTGATGGTCATTCGTTGGCCTGTATTGTGTCCAAATTTAGTGTTAATTCATCCAGTGGTTTTAGAGTTATGTTAATTCCACAAATGAACATTACATTTTTATTTATATAGATATAGAAAATACTATAACAGAATGGTATGTTGTATGAACTCACATTTAACAGCCTTTGTCAACCAATCATTAGTGTCCAAACAATAAAACACTCCAGAAGAAAGGAAAAAAAGAACCCCAGTGTCACTAGCAAAAACAAGCATACTGATATGGCATTGATTTACGCAGAATGAAGACAGGGCACTAGATGTATTCCACCAGGAAGCTTTCTTGTGCATGCCATATTGAAATAGATAACTCCAAGTCATTTCAACATAGCTAACTGTTCACATTAAAATGAACATTTTGGGACAGTTGGAAAAACTGTTATGATCTATGTGCAATCTATGGGCTATACTTTGCCTATGCCTTGTCTAAAATGGGTAGACAACTAGTACACAACTTCAGCTTTGCTTCAGTAAGATAAATCTGCTTGTTTGCCAGCCTTTATCTGTTAAACCATTATTTTAATATATGCTTGAAACTATTATTTAGGAGTAATTTCAAATATAGGTAGTCCCTGAGTTACAAATATCCAACTTACAAACAACTCATAGTTAAGAACAGGGGTGAAACAGCAGGAAGTGAGAGAAGGCTACACCTAGGAAGGGAAATTCGCTCCTGAAAGAGTTATCAGGGTGGGGGGTGGGGATTGAGGTGTCCCCAATGAAGCTTTATCACCAATACTTGTTTCCACCACAAACCATTTTTTTTCAAAATCCAGTTGCGTGTGCAAGTACGATACATCTCCCACAGCCAACCCAAGAAGTATGCTCACACATGTTGTTGGGATGAACAATGGCCACAACTCATTTATTGATAATAGGAACAAGGGTTGGCAGCCAAGCATGGGTCCTGGATCACGATTGAGCAGCCCAATACTGCCCGATCCCGCACACACCAGGGTGCCGCCGGCACAATACTGGGCAAACGCAACTCGGCACCCCTGGGACCACTGGCCATCTCCCCTTTCCGCTAGGGGGGATACCAAACCAGATCCAGGGCCCATGCCCCACGCTAACAAGGAGTTGTGACGAGAAGCATAAAACAAACAAGTAACTGTTAACAGGAAACCAGGACAAGGAAAACAACAACACAAATTAACCACCAGTGAAAACATAAACCGCATGCAGGGTGGGTGGAATGGATCAGCTGTTGCAGGCCCAGTGCTTGCTGGGGAGCCTGGGGCAGCCTTATGAAGGCTGCCCACAAAGAGGGAGAGGCCAGCTCAGGCCTCTCCCACTGCGAGGCATGGTCAGTTGGCCATTGGCCAAGTGACCTGCCGGCGGGGAACCTTCCCGCCATCTGAGGGGGCTTCTGGGAGGAAGAAGCCCTCCTGAGGCAAGAATGGTGGTGGGGGACGCCCTGCACTGCAACTTCTTTGGCCCGGTAAGTCTGGCCATGCCTTTTGTCACAAGGTCAGTAAGTGATGTAAAACCTTCTGAACAGGGGCACAGAGAGCAAAACAAACACCACATGGGTGTTAACCCTCCTATGCTATCCATAGCGCATGCAAATACACACACACACACTGTATATTTAACTGGTTACACTTTAAAATGTACCTGTTCAGATTTACATACAAATTCAAATTAAGAACCACCCTACAGAACCAATCTTGTTCATAACTTGGGGGCTGCCTGTATTTCTCTATACTGCAATTCGTTATCTGCTAAACTAGAAAAAGTATTCTGGGAATACCAAACAGGCGGCATACATGTAATGCAATAAAGCTCTACAAATATATCAACAATATAAACCCTTTTTATTTTATTTAATGGCACTGTATTTTCAATTCTCCATGCCCTGTATATGTAGCTTTTACAAAGAGACTGAAAGGGTTTGGTAACATCTATACTTCAAACTTACATTATAAAATATAGTCTCTTATTATACTTTTCATGGGTGGAGAAAGAGTACTTCTGTTACCTGTCATTTTCATATAATTCCTAATTTGCAGGTGAATCTTCAATCATTATTTAGTTTGAAATCTCTGTAAGTATGAATCAGAGATTATTATTCCCATTTTGGAGACAGAGAACTACCAAATAAATGCCTATCGAATAAATTCAAGGAAGAGGGGAAATGTGAATCAAAGCCCCACAGGTTACAAGTTAAATGATGCAAGGCTAACGCTTGAGTGAACAAAAGAACACCAGAATTCTGCAATACCAAATATTTATGTTCCTCCTGATTCACTTTCCAAGTTCATCATTTCCTCTATCATTCATAAACCACTCCAGTTCATGAGTAATATAGGGAAGACAATAATAAAGCCAACTGTGACAGAATGCTTGTTATATCCTTGAAAACTAAGCTAAAAACATTAAACCTACTTTCCCTTGTTGGTCGTGCCACTAAAGATGTCGCAAATCACCGTAACCTGCTGGCAGTCACGCAGGGGATGTGGGGACCTGTCACCCCATGCCCCATTCCATCGTGGCTATCCTCCTTCCTCATTATTTATTTGAAACACTAGCCGTCCCCTGCCACGCATTGCTATGGGCCATATGAGGGTTCTGTGTGGGAGGTTTGGCCCAGTTCTATCATAGGAGGGATTCAGAATGCTCTGTGATTGTAGTTCACCTACATCCAGAGATCACTGTGGACTCAAACAGTGATGGATCTGGACCAAACTCTACACGAATACTCAATATGTCCAAATGTGAACACTGGTAGAGTTTGGGGAAAATAGACCTTGACATTCAGGAGTTGTAGTTGCTGGGATTTATAGTTCACCTACAATCAAAAAGCATTCTGAACCCCACCAACTAATCTTGAATAGTTAAGAGTAGAAATATCACACTGGCAACTAAGATCTCCTTAGTTAAAGGAATGGTATTCCCTGTAGTCAACTATGGATATGAGAGCTGGTCCATAAGGAAGACTGAGTGAAAGAAGATAGATGCTTTTGAACTGTGGTGTTGGAGGAAAATTCTGAGAGTGCCTTGGACCGCGAGAAGATCCAACCAGTCCATACTTCATGAAATAAAGCCCAACTGCTCACTGGACAGAAGGATAGCAGAGGCAAAGATGAAGTACTTTGGCCACATCATGAGAAGACAGGAAAGCTTAGAGAAGACAATGATGCTGGGGAAAATGGAAGGGAAAAGAAAGAGGGGACGACCAAGGGCAAGATGGATGGATGGTATCCTTGAAGTGACTGGCTTGACCTTGAAAGAGCTGGGGGTGGTGATGGTCAACAGGGAGCTCTGGCGTGGGCTGGTCCATGAAGTCACGAAGAGTCGGAAGCAACTGAACGAATAAACAACAACATCACCAGAACACATTCTGGTTACATTCCTTCAGTATTTAGGTAAATAATTTAAGAGTTATGTGAATTAAGAAAATCAAGGATGAAAAATAATAATAATTGAGGTATAAAGAGAGTATGAAATAGCTATATTTCTATAGTGTTTCTCCCTTCAGAGACAATTTATGCTTTGTCGGTCTGGGACAGAATGCATGGAAACAAATCCAAGCCTGTTCCTGGACCTAAGCAATCTGTACCAGCCAACCAATCAATGCCTTTGTCTTTGCCAGGTCTGAATGCATGGGCTGCTCCCTTGGCAACCACAGAAACAAACTGTAGAAAATCAGGCAAGAGAAAAAGAAAGTGAGAAGAGTTCAACTATTGGTTTCCCAAGCTTGTCAGCTACTCAAGCACAATGCAAGCCAATAAAGGGAAAAAAATGTCACCGAACCACAACGCCACTTATGAGCAGATATTGAAAGAAGAAGAGGTAGGATCTGGGGCAGTGCTGAGAAAAACTGGCAGAGTGACATAGCAGATGTATCAACTAAGTACACAGAAGCTTGAGTTTGAGCTTCAGATGCAATAGAGAGAGGTAAAAAGGGTAATCAATTTTCTCTAAGCACATAACACTGCTGCTATTAAGGGAAGGATAATTTGTTGACCACCTGTGAGAATGAGTTACACAGTGTAAGATGTTTAATTAATCTTGATGACTTCACAGACTAAAAACCTTCCTTTGGGGCTCGGTATTCTACAGATGCGTCTAAAAATGATTTTATTTGGTTTGGACAGTTCGTTTTACTAGATGTTTTTCATTTATTTTTTAAATGTTACTACCCAAACTTACTCCAAGCTACTGGGGTTGATGGGCTAGAAATGGAATTGATTAAATAAGGGATACTTCTGGGACACTTTTGAAAAATATTTAATACTAGCTGTACCCTGCCACGCGTTGCTGTGGCCCATTGTGGAGAAAGGGGAAAGGAAGAAAAGAGGAAGAGCTGGTTTCTAAGCTATCAATAAACAACTGAAGCGGCAAAGTGTCAACCTAATACAGGCCCATTTCAGTCTCCTCGAGGCCAAAGGGTTGTATGGATGTGTGGAAGGGCCCTGGGTTACCTGAGTCCACACTGCCGTATAACCCAGTTCCAAGTTATTATATAGGTATTGTTGTCATTATAGACATATAGATATTATTATAGGCATTTAGATATTATTATTATAGATAGAAATATTATTATTAAAGCTATATAGGTATTAGTATTATAGATGTTATTTATTTATGAATTTCATATCAAAAGCATTGCATAAATTAGTATAAAACTGATTAAAAATAGAAGGAGCAGAGGGCTCAATATCTTTTGAGCAAAAACAGGCAACAGATATTATTAGACATATTGATGTTATTATTTTTATTGTTATTTTTATAGATATTATATAGCTATTATTATTATAGATGTATACATATTATTATACTTTATATAGATATTATTATTATAGACATAGATATTATAGGCATATAGGTATTATTGTTACAAATGTACAGATATTTTTGACAGATAACTTCCGGTTAAGATGGCGGCACGCTAACAGCAACTTTTCCATCGGGGTAAGACGAAACTCTTAATACGGC